TATTATTAGTTTATTCACCCATGAGGGATGTACGCAATTATGATTATGTTAGTTTAACCATTATTATTATTTTGTTCTCAGATGAGCCCACCGTTCAGTACACGGTAACGGAGAACAACACAGCCACAATCAGCAGCGGTGCTGCAGTGCGCATCCACACAGGACCGATACTGCTGTCAACATTAGCCTTGGTCTTCAGTACAGTGGAAGTAATATTGCTGATCTCTGCGTTGGGTACAAGAGATGGAATGGTACTGTTTGTAGATGGCGCTTCTGTAAGAGTGCTGCTGATCTCTGCGTTAGGTGCAGGAACAGGAGATGGAGTTGTGGTTGGTGCTTCTGTGGTAGTGTTCTCGGTGCTCGGCGGAGTAGTGGAATTGGTTTCTCGTAACTCCGTTGCGGCAGGCGTATCAACAACTGGAGTAGATGATTGCTGTGTAGTATTATTATCGCCAGGTACAGTTTTATCCCCTGTGTTATTTGATGATTCTGGGTTACCTTGTGTAAGTGGATTAGACTGCTGAGTTTCTGTGTGTTCTCCAGCACTATGACCACCTCCATTAGTAGAGGTACTCCTCTCCACTTGAGGGGCAGAAATAACCGATGAACTGACGGCACCACTTCCATGTTGGGTGCCATCCTCTTGGACAAGCGAAGAAGTGATTTGTGGTTGTTGTTGTCCAAGATTCACAACTTTCTGATCACCTCGTGGTAGCGCATTAGACCCATGAGTTTGGTTTGGCGTTGCAATCGCACCATTATCTGGTTCGTGTTCGGGAACATCAGGGGATGGGGGAGATCCTTCTGGTGCACTCCCCTTCCTTTCACTTTCAGACCCTCCCACCTCCACATGCGAATCAACTTGAGGTGTACCCAGCAGTTCCGCTCCAGCAGCACCTTGACCAAGAGACACTGCTTCCTCAGTACTCTTAACCTCAGGAGATGGATAAGCAGCCTTTTCATCGAGATAAATTGACACATTAGTTCTAACTTTAGCTTCAAGGCCATGGTCGGGTACTGTATGCGTAATGTCACCACGTTCAGGTGAGCCCCTGCATCCAGTTGCAGAACGTGAAACAGTTTTGCGATTGTATCCTCCAAAGCCACCTAGAACATAAGGAAAATCTTCTCCATAAAGAGCCATCACTGCCTTTGGTTGTCCAGCATTAACAGTAGTGGTAGTAGCAATGGTTGTCGTTGTTGCTGCTGTTCTTGCGGTACGCTGGCGGCAGAGGTCTGCGTACTTCCCACATGCAGACACACGGCTGCCCGCACCGCATGTAAGCCACTCGCTCTCAGCAGCGGGGCGTACACGCAG